GAGTCGGCCTGGTCCCCTGTCAGCAGGGTCACAAAGGCTGGGAACAGGGGAAACAGGGAAAAACAGGGAAAAGGGATGAGAGAGGGATGGCTGAGTCAGCCTGGTCCCCTGTCAGCAGGGTCACAAAGGCTGGGAATGACAAGGGAAACAGGGAAAAACAGGGAAAAAGGGATGAGAGAGGGAAGGGAATCCGCCTGTTCTCCCATCAGCAGGGTCACAAAGGCTGGGAACAGGGAAAAGGGGATGAGGAGGGGAAGGAACAGGAAAAAGGAGATGAGGAGGGAAAGGGGGTTTTGGGAAGGGAAGGGATCCCTGGGAAAAAGAGGGGCTTGGAAAAGCATCCCAGGTTGTTCCCTTTCCCAAGGGACCCCCTGTCAGCTGGGGGCTGATTCCAGGGGCTGATTCCAGGGGCTGATCCCGGAGTTCCAGGGGTGATGCTGGGGCTGATCCCGGAGTTCCAGGGGCTGTTCCTCACCCGTTCCTTTGTACTTGTCCACGAAGCAGTACTTGAGCTCGTAGTCACTCAGCAGGTCGTGGACTTCCTGCAAAAACAGGAAAAATTTCCAAGGATTTTGGGGGGGGGAAAAGGGAATTGGGGTCGCAGGGAAAAGCTCCAGCCCCGATCCCAGTCCCGATCTCCCCCTGTCCCCGTTCCCGCTCACCTGGTTGGTCACGTCGGGCGGTAACCCCCTGATCAGCACCTTCCGCCGGTTGCGGAACTGCCTCGCGCTGCGCTCCAGGCGGCTCCGCACCTCGGCGGGGGGGAGCGGCGGCAGCTCCTCCTCGGGGGCGCGCCCGAGCCCCGCCGGCGGTTCCTCGGGCCCCGCTCGGGGCTCCCGCCCGGGCCCCGCCGGCGGTTCCTCGGGCGCCGCTCGGGGCTCCCGCCCGGGCCCCGCTCCGGGCCCGCTCCCCGACACCGCCGCCGCCATCTTGGCCCCGCCGCCGCCACCACCCGCCGGGCAACCCCCCCCAGCAACGCGCCTCCCCATTGGAGGAAGGCTTTGAGAGGGGGATGTGTCGGAGGGTGTGATTGGGTAAGTCTGAAGGGGGGGTTGTGTCCGAGCTGGTGATTGGGTGCGGCGGGGTGAGAGGGAAGGTTGAGGGGTGTGATTGGTTGGGTGGGTGGAGCGGGGAGGGGGGCGCGACCTTTGACCCCGCGAAGGGACCCGAAATAGCCCCAAAACCTCCCCGAACAGTCCCAAAACAGCCCCAAAACATCACCAAATAGCCCAAAGGGGCCCTAAAATACCCCAACATCCCCCCCGAGAACCCCCAAAATACCCCCAAAGACACTCAAAATATCCCTCAAAAAGAGACCCCAAAATAACCCCCAAACCCCCAAAGGGACCCAAAATACCCCAAAATGCCCCCCAAAGAGACCCCAAAATATCACACACTGGAAACACCTGGAGGGGCTTTTCCATCCTTTATTTGGGAAAGGCCCTGAACCCCCAAATCCAGGGAGGATCCCCCCAAATCCCAGACCCCAAATCCCAGGGGAGGATCCCCCCAAATCCCCAGAGGGTCCCCGGGACCCCCAAATTCCAGGAAGATCCCCTCAAATCCAGGAGGCCCCAAATCCAGGACCCCAAATTCCTTTCCCCCTGGAAATGGGATTTGGGGGGAGGTCCCCATTCCCTCCTTCCCCTTTTATTTTTTCCCCTTCCTGGCCCTTCCAGGACGTTGGAAAATCCCGGTTTTCCTCCTCCCCAGGAGCTGCCCCCGAACCTTCAGCTTGGGGTGGGATTTGTGGGGTCCTGGGTGGGATTTTGGGGTGTTTTTGTGGGACTTGGGGGTTTTTGGGTGGGATTTGGGGTGCCCTGGGTGGGATTTATGGGCGTTTTTGTGGGATTTGGGATTTTTTGGGTGGGATTTTGGGGTCCCTGGGTGGGATTTGGGGGGTCCTGGGTGGGATTTGGGGGTTCCCAGGTGGGATTTAGGGGTGTTTTTGTGGGATTTTTGGGTTCCCAGGTGGGATTTGGGATTGTTTCTGTGGGATTTGGCGGTGTTTGTGTAGGATTTGGGGTTGTTTCTGTGGGATTTGGGGGTGTTTCTGTGGGATTTGGGGGTGTTTCTGTGGGATTTGGGGGTGTCTGGGTGGGATTTTGGGGTCTCCCGGCTCTGCCTCCGCCGTTTCCGGGGTCGGGAAGTGCCTGAGGGGCTTCGTTTCCTCTTGGTGGGGAACAAATCTGGGGAGAAAAGGGCGAAAAAAGGTGAAAAGGGACAAGTTTTGGGGTGAAAGAGGACAATTTTGGGGTGAAAAGGGGTAGCTTTGAGGTGAAAGAGGACAATTCTAGGGTGAAAAGTGGCAGTTTTAGGGTGAAAAGGGACAATTTTGGGGCTGTTCCGGAGGTGTCAGAGCGTTTACTTTGAACCAAACTCATGGAAATTCAGGAACTTTTTGGTGTCATCAACCACCTCCAGAGGGAAAAGGGGGGGTCAGTCCCACCCCAAACTCACTTATAACTCCCCAAACTCACCTGTAACCCCCCCAACTCCCCCCAAACTCACCTGTAACCTCCCAAACTCCCCCCAAACTCACCTGTCCCCCCCACACTCACCTGTGTCAGGCTCCTCCCCCACCTCCTGTCTGTAGTACTCGGCGTCGTCCTCGTCCTCCGAGGGTGTGGCCACACCTGGCTCAGGTGCACCGGGGTCCTCGACGTCGCTGTCACCCTCCTTGTCACCTGTCCTGGAACTGTCACCTGTCCTGGAACTGTCACCTGTCCCGGCCTGGCCCTGCTGGCGTCGCATCCCGGCCAGGCTGCGCTCCCTGGGGGGACGGGGACAGGTGAGGGACAGGTGAGGGGGGACAGGTGAGGTTTGATCTCAGCGCTGCCCTCACCTGGGAGTGTCACCTGTGATACCTGGAACTGTCACCTGTGACACCTGGGAGTGTCACCTTGTCCTGCCCTCACCTGGGAGTGTCACCTGTGTCCCCCTCACCTGTTCAGGTGCCTCAGGTGCCGTTTCCTCTCCAGGTCCTGCTCCTGTTTCTGCCTCCGCTGGGCCTTGAGCTGCAGCTTCTGCTCCCGGCGCTGCTGCAGCTGCTGCAGCTCCTCCTCCGACCTGTGCACTGGGACAGGTGGGACAGGTGAGACCCCCCAGGTGTGTCACTCACCCAGCCCAGCCCAGGGGTGTCTCCATGCCCAGGTGTCCCCAGGTGTCCCCAGGTGTGTCACTCACCCAGCCCGTGGTACAGGACGCTGCCCTGGCCCAGCCCCTCCTCCACCTTCACCAACTGCAGGGTCAGGCGGGGCCCGATCTGGGGACGGGGGGGACACAGAGGGGACAGGGGGGACGTCAGGGAGCCCTGGGGGCACCTGGTACCTGGCCCTCGTGTCCTTAATGTCCCCTCGATGTCCCCAATGTCACCTCAGTGTCCCCATTGTCACCTCAGTGTCACCTCAGTCAGCCTCACAGCACTCTGCTGTCCCCCCTGGTGTCCCCAATGTCCCCAGGATGTCCCCAGGATGTCCCCACTGTCACCTCAGTCAGCCTCACAGCATTCTGCTGTCCCCCCTGGTGTCCCCAATGTCCCCAGGATGTCCCCACTGTCACCTCAGTCAGCCTCACAGCACTCTACTGTCCCCCCTGGTTCCCTGATGTCCCCAATGTCCCCTCAGTGTCCCCAATGTCCCCAATGTCCCCACTGTCACCTCAGTCAGCCTCACAGCACTCTGCTGTCCCCCCCTGGTTGCCCCTCCCGGCGCAGTCCTGGGGCAGCTCCAGCACGTTGTGGGTCCCGTCCTGCTCGGCCTCGCTCTCCGACAGGGCCACCTCCCTGGGGACAGTGGGGTCACCGGGGTCACACAGGGTCACCGGGGTCACCAATGTCACCACAGTGTCCCCAGGGTCACCACAGTGTCCCCGTGTCACCCCCATTCCCAAATGTCCCCCCTTCACGTGTCCCGTTTCTCCCTGTCCCGTGTTCCCCTTCCCATCCAGTGTCCCC